CATACTATATCCAACACTGAGTCATTTGATTTTGAATGTAGATCTATTTTGATTGGTCACTGACTTCAAGATACCAAGTGCAAAAACATACTATATCCAACACTGAGTCGTTTGATTTTGAATGTAGATCTATTTTGATTGGTCACTGACTTCAAGATACCAAGTGCGAAAACATACTATATCCAACACTGAGTCATTTGATTTTGAATGTAGATCAATTTTGATTGGTCACTGACTTCAAGATACCAAGTGCAAAAACATACTATATCCAACACTGAGTCATTTGATTTTGAATGTAGATCTATTTTGATTGGTCACTGACTTCAAGATACCAACTGCGAAAACATACTATATCCAACACTGAGTCATTTGATTTTGAATGTAGATCAATTTTGATTGGTCACTGACTTCAAGATACCAACTGCGAAAACATACTATATCCAACACTGAGTCATTTGATTTTGAATGTAGATCTATTTTGATTGGTCACTGACTTCAAGATACCAACTGCGAAAACATACTATATCCAACACTGAGTCATTTGATTTTGAATGTAGATCTATTTTGATTGGTCACTGACTTCAAGATACCAAGTGCAAAAACATACTATATCCAACACTGAGTCATTTGATTTTGAATGTAGATCTATTTTGATTGGTCACTGACTTCAAGATACCAACTGCGAAAACATACTATATCCAACACTGAGTCATTTGATTTTGAATGTAGATCTATTTTGATTGGTCACTGACTTCAAGATACCAAGTGCAAAAACATACTATATCCAACACTGAGTCATTTGATTTTGAATGTAGATCTATTTTGATTGGTCACTGACTTCAAGATACCAACTGCGAAAACATACTATATCCAACACTGAGTCATTTGATTTTGAATGTAGATCTATTTTGATTGGTCACTGACTTCAAGATACCAAGTGCAAAAACATACTATATCCAACACTGAGTCATTTGATTTTGAATGTAGATCTATTTTGATTGGTCACTGACTTCAAGATACCAACTGCGAAAACATACTATATCCAACACTGAGTCATTTGATTTTGAATGTAGATCTATTTTGATTGGTCACTGACTTCGTTCGTGATAAGAGAGATGGGGGCAGTGACATCACTTCTGAAACAAAGCTGGTCCAAGGTATCCAACAGATGGAGATACTGCAACTCGGGTAATCAAGGATGATGTCCCACCAACTAGAATAGTCTCGACTAGTGGCCGTGTCAAACACTGTTTCTGGTGTTTCTGCTGTGAGATAGCTGACTCAGCGATGCAGTTATGTATCTAGGATTCTAAACTAAGTGCCCATGGCCCATAGTGCCCATTGCCCATAGAGTTGAGGTGATTATTGCACTTATATAGCGACGTGCATGTACGTGTGTGTGTATGTGTGGCTGCTTGTACTAGTCCGGACTGATGCCGATTTATAGTGCTAGCTCACTGAGATACCATGCCGCAGTTTAACATGAATATCCCACCCAGACACAGTATACTGACTCTAAGCTGACCAGTCCTTGTTTTAGCCCCTTAATGCCGAGCGCCAGGCAGGGTAACAACAAGTACCATCTTTTAACGTCTTTAGGTATGACGCGGCCGGGGAGATCAAACCCCAGACCTTCAGCTCTCCGGGCGGACGCTCTACCACTAGACCACGGAGGTGGTGTTTTTAGAGTTGAATTAAACCTTGGAACTGAAGTTTCCTTTGAATGTGATAACCATAACAACAAATAAAAAGTAAAGTTTGAGATAAAGGAACTCGATTTTCCACCCAAGTTTGCCACAAGCTCCACTTGACTGTCACCCTCCGCCATTTTACTTTGGAAAGACTGGTTGCTAAGCTTCAAGGGCAGTTAACTCTAATCCTCACTCGGCTACATTCACAAGCATGTTTCGGTGACTCAATCGCATGATATGGTAAATACAATCAAACTATTGATATTCGATACTATTGATCGGAAACTGATTTAACAATCGATTTATTGACTTTAAGTGCTAACCAAAAGCAATATATCGATATTTCGATTTAACGTGACCCCCCTATTATTTAAGATGCTTTCTTTTTACTGTTTAACATTTGTAAATTCTGAGGTATTGGGAATGTTTTAATTCAAAAGGAGAATATTTTCTGTCATTTCTTGCAGACTTGGGGCAGAATATCGGCCTCTGAGCAGGTCTAGATAAATCCCTGGGGTAATACAAATTTAGTTCATATTAAACTTATGTGGAAAGTTCAAACAGATCTGAAAACTCTGAACAGTGAATCTCAGCATCTCAGTAATTTAAATCACGGGTCACCTGAGACACAAAGCGGTTCGACTGTTTGAATCAGTAAAACTAATTGAATTTCTAGATTGCTTGTTACACAAAAAAACAAACATTTCTATTCTGGAAAGAAATACACTCCGAGTTCAGAGAATCAATGGCTGATTTTCATCAATCTTACACCAGGTCTCCAGATAATTTTTTGAGCCACTGAGTATCTACTCACAAGTTATCATTTACATTAGGTATTGACAGTTTTCTTTGGGTATTCAAAATATTTTTCCACCTGTATCTACTCACAAGTTATCATTTACATTAGGTATTGACAGTTTTCTTTGGGTATTCAAAATATTTTTCCACCTGTATCTACTCACAAGTTATCATTTACATTAGGTATTGATAGTTTTCTTTGGGTATTCAAAATATTTTTTCCACCTGTATCTACTCACAAGTTATCATTTACATTAGGTATTGATAGTTTTCTTTGGGTATTCAAAATATTTTTTCCACCTGTAACTACTCACAAGTTATCATTTACATTAGGTATTGATAGTTTTCTTTGGGTATTCAAAATATTTCTTCCACCTTGGGTCCAGTTTAGTAGACAAGTTTTTAAATAATTGTGATTATTGTGATATTCATGCCTAATTAACTATAAGCTACACGTAGCACCTTGTGTATGCATTATTCACAATAGCAGACTAGACTAGAGTACATGTATGTGTGATGTCTGCATTTGATAGGTAAATATTAGGTGGCTAGTGATAAATCACAAAGAACAATGAAGTACGAAGCTCCAGGCAGGGTAACAAGTACTATAGGTCTTTTAGTATGACGTTTCCAGTGATCTAACCACTGATATAATTAAAAAACACAGACAAGCAGATCTGCGTGCTTGTCAAAACTCCTTTATCCACACAGAAGGCAACAGTTCTTGTGTGGATAAAGGAGTTTTGACAATATATATGCGGGTGTGAGCGCATACATGTTTGTGTGTGTGTGTGTGCTTGTGTGTACCACATATGTGTATATCACGTGTGTCTACAATTGATATAGGTATATGATGAAATTTTGGTTCTTTCACATGTAATATATCAAGCTTTCAACAAGTTCAAGTCTATTATCTCTCCCCCTCTCTTCGCCTGTCTTCCAGACCCTTGATAATAAATTAGAACAAATCCAACTCAAGTCTAGAATGATTTGGCAAGTCTAGACTGCCCCTCCATTAGCTCCTGGAATTAACCATTAGTGGGCTCCATTTGGAATATATTTTGTAGATATAAATATAACTACCGTATTCGACGTAATAAGCGCCCAGGGCGCTCTCGAAATTAGAAACAGGGGGCCCTTATTAGAATAGTATTTTGAGTTGAAAGATCGTAAATTTCATGGTTTATGCTGACAGCCTGAAATGTTTATATACGACAGATATATTTTTCCAGGATTTAATTGCCCATAATTAAGGGTGCATATAACACACGAGTGCGTATTATACACAAATGAATAAGTCTTGTGTACATTAATCAATTGGAAGAGGTGCTAATTGAGATTGTTCACTAGCCAATATATTAGCAAATATCGGCGTGGGCGCTTATTAGAGCAGGGCGCTTATTACGTCGAATACGGTATATTTCTGGGATTACATGTTAGTCTGTCCCTTCCTACTCCCCCCTCCCCTATGTTTCCCTATATCCACATCACTTTGTATAAACACTTTCACAAACCTAAGCCTAGTCCTGAACAATGACTGTGGAATATATTTATTTCATGAAAAAATAATAATCTAGAAACGTATACAAAAGCAAGTCTGGCCAGCTCTTGCTAGCTCTATTCCACTGAAATCCGCATAGGGTAAATTATTATTTTTATTTTTAGAGTCGAGAAGGGTATTGTGTAATATAAAATTTCATAGACTAAATGTTCGTCTACCGGTAATGTAAGCCCCAACTACATGGGGTTGCAAGAGATTATGAGAAACCGTGGTTAGAGTAATGTGAATATTTTTATATTTCTGTTTAAAACCTAAAAACAAACACACCTTAATTTGAATCAAGGAGGGAGAAAATATTATTTTACATGGCTGTCTGTAATATTTCAAGTCTCACTACCACAAACTAACTAAGAACATGTATAAGATTTAATTAAAGAATTATTCAATCTTTTTTGGTACATGTATAAGATGTTTTGATCATCAGAGATTTAATAACATCTTTGAGCACACCTATACGTGGAATGTTAACAGTGGCTATATCAAAGGAAGGTTGTTCACATAAAAAAACCACTTGTCAGTGTTAATCGATAAGGCTGCACAATATCAACTTCCACCTTTAATCATCTCAAATTAATCAAGAAACAACAGGATACTAAATCTACATTCCTTCTTCTGACAACGATACGAATATGAGTTATTTTGATGATACTGGCAGACATATGAATTCGCCGTAAAACTTTTGAGACGAACCCCATAGGAGTTTGGATGCCTGTGACCACACAGCTTGTTGTTCGGGACGATCAGAAAAAACTCAGAGACACTGTTGCCCCCAGAATACACAGTAAAACATAGAAAATAGTCAGATCTATAGACGAAAGTGTCTGATGAGCTCTACAAATTGTCAAAAACCGATCTCAAACGGGCAAACCCGTCCGGCAAAATTCCTCGAAAGTAGCCTATTATCAGCTGACTGGCCAAAATGTCTCGGTTTGGGGAAGAGATTCACTTACCCAAAACAGGCCGATGACGACATTTCTTCTTATCGCCATCCTCTAATCTCCCTTTCCATACCGTGTGTCCTCTTCGTAGATCTAGTCCAAAAACACAAAACCTTCTTCCACGAACGTGCTGTCTAATATGTGTTGTCTCACATCAGTTGCCTACCTTTGTAAACTCGCCGCGAGAGGGAGCTGTTCTTGGGAGAAGTCAGTGTAACATTCCGACTACCATTTTTCTCGGTTGGTTCGAAACACGACAACGGGTGTGCTTTAAAATGTGCTATTTTGGGTGTTCCATTTAGGGTTTTATTTCGTCAGCGATATGTAAGATAATAGCGTGGCGTATTTGTTCGCGTGCGGGGGAGAGATGGGTCCAAGTATTATTTGTATGACAATGTAGGGCTTTGATATTATTTAAGATGTCGAACAAAGTTTCACCCGGGTATTTCTTTTCACATGTGGCCTGTGAAGTCCTTGGTTAGAATTGGTCTTCAGCAACCCATGCTTATCGTAAGAGGCGACTATAACGAGACCGGATGGTCAGGCTTCTGAATTGTTTGATGCATGTCATCCTATCCCAATTTGCCTGGATCGATGCTAATAATGTCAATCACTGGATTGTCTGGTCCAGACCCGATTATTTAATTCCAGACCGCAGTGGAATATTGGTTATTGCGGCGTTAAACAGCAAACAAACATATTTCTTTTAACATGACTGACTTTTCAATGTAGACTTTAGGGAGCATACAGGTCTGATGATAACAGCTCGCTAATTTACAGATTAAAATATCGAACGATATTGAATTTTATCGCACAGGGTCTATTTTCATTGTCCTTTCGGGTTCGTTTGTTGTCTAACGCTGCAAACAGCAATAATACTAGCTATATGACGCCAGTCTGTGATTAATCGATACGGACCAGACAATCCAGTGATTGACTTCATTTGCATCGATTTGGGATACGATGACCTGCATCAACCAAGTCAGCGAGTCTGACCATCCGATCCCGTAAGTCGCCTCTTACGCCAAGTATGGGTGCTGAAGACCAGTTCTAACCTTCACGGGTGTCCTTTCATGTTACAACATGTATGGTAATATGTGTTTGTTGTCACCATTTTGATGGAACATTGCCGAGCATGGATCGATGCTGATGATATCAATCACTGGTTTATCTGGTCCAGACTCGATTATTTACAGACCGCCGTCATGTAGCTGGAAAATTGCTGAGTGCGGCGTAAAGCAACAAACCAACCAAACCACTGGCGTTAAACAAAATAGCAAATCAAACATTCAGTGGAAATGTCTTCTGAGACGTATACACCGCGCTTTGAAATGATAACAGCAGTTAAAACTAGCTACATTTCAATAGTTTCAGCAAGAAAGAATGATATGCAAGACACACAAAATTCAAATTTGACTTCACATGAAGTGAAATTTCTTCGTGAAAAACGATATGTTTAGCCCCAAACGCTTCACTCGAGCCTTTTACGTTCAAGAACGTCATATTTTCAACCTTATCATATTATTTTGATAATTAATGATTTTCATCACTAAATTAATCTCGAGCACGTCAGTAATCTGATCGGACAATCCACTTATTACAATATCTTTCCTACCTCAAAGACGGATTTATCGATTTTGACTTTTAAATCTAAAAACCAACGCCAATTTTAGATATAATGCATTCAATTACTTCTCAAAGATCGATAGTATTAGAATTCGCTAATCTGAATCTGAGCGTGTTTCCAGAAACACTTTGAAATCGGAAGAAAAACTGACGCGATGGAGATTAAACAAACTGAATTCAGTTTGGATCAATTTTCACGTTTTACACTTCAGCGAATCTCTGTCAATGTGTTTCATAAAGCCGCCATCAGCTGGCTGATTGTATCGTCAGTGCGCACGGCGAAATTCATTGCACACGTGTGTCGATTATTGCTGATTGGGACTAATCTTTATATTTACTGCTGTAATAGTGTAACGATATCTACACAACAACACCACACTACTCAACAGATAAACAGTGTGTATATAGCTGGCAGATGTACCAGATTTGGTGCGCCAGGTGTCATGCAGCGTTACAACGTTGAGACATTTTACGGGAACTTCATTGAGATTTGTTGTTACTGTTTGATAATTGTTTGTTTGTTGCTTTATGACTGGAAACCGATTTGTCCAGAAACTGTCCGCGAACGAGTCAAATAATCCCCCTGTCTGTGTATTCTAAATTAGCAACAGTAGCCAAGGTAGAGCAACTCAACTCAAATGCGTACTTGTACTTTATCTAGCTGTAGGTTTTAGTGTGACTCATAGTCCTTGAACCATTTTAGTTTCGCTTCATCCCAGCTCTTTCTAAAATGCAAAAACCCTAAGTTTAAGTAAAGCAAGTCTAGATTTTTCTCAGGTTCAGGTCTCCCAAGACCGTCTCCGTGGTCTAGTGGTAGAGCGTCCGCCCGGAGAGCGGAAGGTCCGGGGTTCGATCCCCGGCCACGTCATACCAAACGACGTTAAAAGATGGTACTTGTTGTTACCCTGTCTGGCGCTCGGCATTAAGGGGTTCAAACAAGGACTGGTCGGCTCGGAGTCAGTATACTGTGTCTGAGTGGGGTATTCATGTTAAACTGCGGCATGGTATCTCAGTGAGCTAGCACTATAAATCGGCATCAGTCTGGACTAGTACAAGCATCCACACAAACACACACACGTACATGCACGTCGCTATATAAGTGCAATAATCTTGGACGGGACGTTAAACCCCTTTTCACCTCACCCCAGGTCTCCCATCTCACTGAGGCTCCTTTTCAATTTAAATGGAGTTATTAGTTTCTATCAAAATTATATATTTTCAGAGACTAAACGTGAGTCTAGGTTCTCGCGTACTCCGCATGGTTGGCTGTCTCTTCCCACAGAGCTGTAGAGTTGTACACAAGCCACCGTGGGCAGTCGGGTTTAGAATAGATCCCCATGCTTGTTTGTTGTTTAACGCCGTACTTATCAATATTCCAGCTATAAGAAGACAATCCAGTGTTTGACATCATGAGCATCGATCTACGCAATTGGGGTACGATTAGATGCATCAACCGAATTGGCGAGCCTGACCACCCGATCAAGTTAGTCGTCATATGGCTGGAATATTGTTGAAAGCGGCGTTAAACAACAAACTAAAAGCCCCCTTGAACCCCCCCCCCCCCCCTTCCCAAGCTCACTCACCGAGAAAACGAGAGCCATGGTGGTAGCCTGAGCCAAGTACCACAATGCGACACCAGCACTTCGATGACTTAAATATATAGCATCTTTCTACTCATATTTAAGTAACAGTAAATAATACCAATTTTCAAATCATCGAAACCCGAATGAGTGCCAAAAGGTTGCTTAAACGCAAATTAATGAACGGTCCCTTGCGGTATTTCTATAATATCTCACAAAGGGTCCTTTAATATAGTCTTACAGGATAACAACTTCATTGTTGTAGTATAACAAGAAGCTTATGAAATGTTGACCATGTCTGACCCTAATTACATTTCCATGGCAACAGTTGTTCATTTATTTAGGTTTGACCTCTCATGACCTCGTCGCTGGGGTCGTGATGACAGTATTGTACGCTGTCGTGAAAATATTGAATTTTTCTTGCTTATACAACCCCTACTTACATTAATTTCCTATCGCACTGAGAGGGTATGAGAGTGTTCCTGGTCCTTGGTAAATGTACAGTGAGTACTCTCAACTCGACAGACAGGAAATTGCGCCTACAGAAAGAGCGTAATATATTTCTCCAAGGAAATAAGGATTAATTTTCAAAGAGCATATTTATCTTGCCGGCAAGGGATCCTTCGAAACTTAAAACAACAAATGAGAAACGATGACAGGGAAAAATCACTTTGGATTTTTCTCCGAGAGTTTTAATGGCAATGTCCAAGCATTGGGCCAATTTCAAATGCGGGTAATTATTTGATGAGACTGACAGCCGAACCCCGACAGATGAAAGGATGTAACTTGCATCGATATAAGACGAGAGGGCCCGTACAAAAATACCCTGGCCCGTACCAGGCATATGTTATCTGAAATCATTTTAAAACTTGAAAAGTTCACCAATATTTATAGTACAATGTTGATTAGTAAAAAAATCACAAGTTCTCTTCTCTGAAAAAAAGGAGCTTAACAGTTTAAAGTTTTCTCACCATGTATTTTTCCATGACGTTGCGCATGTCTAGCGAATCGTTGTTTTGTTTTTGATAAAACCTGGAACAAAATGATTGTTTTCTGGAACAAATTGTTGGATTTAAAAAAAAACCCAAACGACACCCACACATAGAAAGAATATAAAATGGTACCTGAGACACGTTGATCTTCGGTAAATGGCAAAAGTGTTAACGTACATATCAATCTATTTGATGGGGGACTGGGCAAAATTATCAAGTTTGGTCACGTCATTCAAAACGATTACGTGTGTCTGCTCGCTTAACTTTGGATTGCAGGCAGCGGGCTTTCCTCCCACATTAAGCACGCCGCGATATAACTGTAATACTGTTAAAAGCGGCGTTAAACCCAACTCACTCACTCACTCATAGCAGGCAGCAATTAGGCTGCTTCCGGAGACACGTTGTCTCACTTGGACACAGGGCAGTGCCACATCTAGTCACAGACTGGCACTGGGCCCCGAGACCGCCGACCCACACATTATAGGAAATGCTTTCATTCTATATAAGTAAGCTATGACAAGTTCATCAAGTATGTATTTCTAACAATGATGTCTTCAAACGGCCGGACACAATAGCCTATTTTAGTCAGTTGCCTATATCCGCTTTCGGCTATGCGCATGAGTGTTAATGTCAAGTGCCACTTCCGGTGTGTCTTATAAACTGGTGATAATAACTGCATGAGTTCCTTACCTTCGGAGTTCATGACTTACGTCTGGTAGGGGCTTATTAAGAGAGTGTAGGGGCCTGTTGCTGGATTATTAGTAGGTGAAACTAGGAACTCCATTATTTCCAGTTGATCAGACAAGCGTCATGTGTCCAATCAAATAGATTGTCCGTCCCAACGTACTTACATGTGCTAGAACGTACTTACATGTGCTAGAACGTACTTACATGTGCTAGAACTTACATGTGCTAGAACGTACATACATGTGCTAGTTTGTTTGTTTGTTGTTTAACGCCGCATTCAGCA